CAAAAAGTTAGAGAGGGAGGGAGCCAAACCATAAGAGACTCTTAAAACCTGAGAATAAACTGAGGGTTGATGGGGGGTGGGAGGAAAGGGAAGGTGGGTGATGGGCATTGAGGAGGGCAGCTGTTGGGATGAGCACTGGTTGTTGTATGGAAACCAATTTGATAATAAATTTCCTATTAAGAAAAAAAAAGTTAAACAGCCTTTCCCCTAACTTTTGTTGTGGAGTTAAGGGACTCCTTAACAACAAATCAGAACACAACAAATCAGAACTGTCTGAATTTTTCTTGTATGTCCTAAGAACTTTCCTCTTCCACCTAAAACTTGCCTTCCAATTAAATGCCATTTTTGATCATTAGCAATTTTTGCTATATTTGAGTTTTTTGGAGAAAGCTTACAACTTCACATCTCACCAAATGATAAAACCTCAAAGACAAGTAATAATGGCAAAATGGGTGTGGAGATTATCCCCAAATAACTGCATCTCAATATTTAATCAGCAGGAGAACTTGAAAACAGACCATTATCTTTAACTTGGAGGCAAGAAAGCTACTGGGCTGACACGAACACCTGAAGAGCATCCTATCATGTTCACATCCATCAGAAACATTATCTTCCCTGGGTTGGTCAAGGTGACGCTTTGTATGCTTCTGTGTTTTCCTGCATGTCCATGTATTACAGAAAATAGAATTGATGCTTAAACTCCCCTAAGACTAAAACCCACAAAAACAAGTTCAAAACATGAAATTGGCCAGGGTGACTGACAAACTAACGATTACATATGTGTGTACTACATGATGTATTTTACAAAGTAGTACATCTGTAAGTCGTTGCTCAGAAATATGAGGAAAGAGGCTCACAAACACAGGAAACTGCTAGTTAAGAACACGTATTAACAATGGCATTCTTTTCCCCATGCCCATCACCCAAAGAGCGATGATAGGCTTCCTGAATTCATCCCTCCTCTCCTAAACTAGTCATTTATTTAGAAAAGGCTGGACCAGAAGATCATTAAGATTACCGGATACTCCACATCCATGAGGTCAACTTTCACTCTTAACTATTTCCTGCATACCTTCTAACAAATGCTCAAAAAAGTAATAATGCCTAACAAATTCTTCAAGACTACAGTATCTATCAACCCATGGCCCACAAAATGCTATGCAAGCCACTTTAGATACACAAGTCACCACTAGCTTTACGGTTTTGAGTAAAACCATGGGCAGAGTGGAAAATAATCAATTATTACACTCAAAAAATTTCACCTCATATAAATCTGAATTCACCAGATAAAACGAAAAAATCCTCTTCAGTAGGTTCATATTACCCAAATTTCAAAACTCCTAAGCAAATGAATATTAAACATGAAACTTGCCAAGACTTGGGCTCTCCAAAGTGGAGATAATTAATGCTGTAGAGGTCCATATCCTCGGTGTGCCACGCGAATGTGGTCTTCCACATGCCAAAATAGAGATAAGGGGTGTTTACACCCTCAATAGAAATACCGCACTCTTCCTCAACCACATCCAAGACCGTATTTAGGCGAGCTATGTTCCATTCATCCACACCCTGGAACCAGGAGAAAGAGGAAAAAAAATCAAATGTTAATAAACTAATAAAAATAGCATTTATTAATCAAACTGTCATGTGCCAAAATTATCATACTGTACACTTATATTGACTGAGAAATGAAAAATAAAGCAATCATTATTCAGGTAATATATGTATGTATATATCAATTATTAAAGATCAAAGATTACTACTAGCATAATATGGTTCTATATGAACATTAGTATGAAAGTATACCAATAAAATTCCTGACTCCAAATGGAAGTATAAGTTAAGGCTCCACCCCTCAGTTATTGTTAGCAAAAAATCATTGCTTCAAAGACTATGGTCTGAAGTGTGCTTTCCATTTTTGGCACACCTTTTCTTTGAGGGTGGGGGTAGTTTTTTCTTTTTAAATTATTTATTTGTACATTAGCTTAGAAGTCATATTCAACATCAGACATCATCTCAAGATACTAATAGTAAAATATATCTTCTGCCTTCCCACTCTCATCCCTATGCATTTCAACTTTAGCATGTGACACATTATTTCCTAAAAATTCCACTATAATTATGGGAAAAATTCTTAGCACTTCTAAACCACAGATCATTGTGCTTTTACTGCTCCTTCAACTAAATATTATTCTTTCTATATAAAATTTATTGTCAAATTGGTTTCCATACGACACCCAGTGCTCATACCAACAGCTGCCCTCCTCAATGCCCATCACCCACCCTCCCTTCCCTCCTACCCCCCATCAACCCTCAGTTTATTCTCAGGTTTTAAGAGTCTCTTATGGTTTGGCTCCCTCCCTCTCTAACTTTTTTTTCCCCTTCCCCTCCCCCATGGTCTTCTGTTAAGTTTCTCAGGATCCACATAAGAGTGAAAACATATGATATCTGTCTTTCTCTGTATGATTTATTTCGCTTAGCATAACGCTCTCCAGTTCCATCCACGTTGTTACAAAAGGCCATATTTCATTCTTTCTCATGGCCAGGTAGTACTCCATTGTGTATATAAACCACAATTTCTTTATCCATTCATCAGTTGATGGACATTTAGGCTCTTTGCATAATTTGGCTATTGTTGACAGTGCTGCTATAAACCTTGGGGTACAAGCGCCCCTATGCATCAGTACTCCTGTATCCCATGGGTAAATTCCTAGCAGTGCTATTGCTGGGTCATAGGGTAGATCTATTTTTAATTTTTTGAGGAACCTGCACACTGTTTTCCAGAGTGGCTGCATAAATATTAACTTCTTATGTCGATGGCAAATTTTAAACACAGAATAATAAAAAAAATTCTTATCCAGACTTTAGTAAAACTGCTGGAATAATATAGTTTTATACCAATAATGGTGATGATACAGAGAAAAGGATAGAATCACTGATACCAGAGTTTTGGTGATAGGAAAAGATTCTAGTTTTCTTAGAACTTACCAATTATTCAATTATAACTCATAACTGCTTAAAATCTTTACAAACTATGTATTTTTACTATATGCCTTTCTCATAACCACACATAAACATCAGATATTGGGATCATTCCTATGAAATCATGAGGAAACTGCAATGCTTGTAAATCCATTTCAATCTCCTTATGATGCTATTAAAGAGGGGCATTAAATGCATTTCTGTATAACAGTAAGGCCTTCTCCAATAACTATGCCAATGACCACACAGATCTCCCTTATCCACTAAAAATTTTCAGGGTTGTTCTGTTTTAATATGGTCTCTAGATTATTCTCTAATCAGTGTACTAATCTTACTTCCTCAAGCTTTGGGTTAGCAAAATTATTGATGCAGCAGTTAATGAAGCTCTGCCTCAGGTAACATAATTAAAAGTCCCAAGGGAAATAATTTAATTCCCAAATTTCCCTAAGCAGCCACTCTATCTACAGCTTAAAACTCCACAGTGTTAAGTCTGCTATTTGGAAATTGGTCAAAACTAGTATCCTTTTAGAGAAAATCCTAGGTTCCAATTTATGAGACTTCATAAAAATTAAATCAAATTCTATAAAATGTTTTATCTCACTCTATTTATAGTGATGCAGCCTCTTAACTCTAGTCCAATCAGACCTCAGCCCAATCACTCTAATAATAGATTCCTATTTGAAAGTCATTACTGAGGCAATGAATCTGAAGTAATAAATGAGCAACATATTATAGAAATCATTTTAAACTGAATGAGCTTGCGAATTTACAAACAAACTATTTCTCTGAAATTCCTACATTTGGGGAATTCTTATCTTTATTTCTGCCATTATCTTTCAGAAATAACTAAGGCTGAATCCCTTGACATCCCTCGACATGCAGGTCTGAGAGGAAAAGGTAGAGAAAGCGTGCTGAGAGAAGACCCAGATTATGGCCCCAGCTCTGCCACTGACCAAGGTAAAAATCACTGAGATTTCCTGAGCTTCCGTCTGTCTTTGAGAAAACATGAGAGCTGCAGCACTTCCCAGAGTTACTCAGAGTACTGAATGGTCTAAAGGACACAAAGCCTTTGGGAATAACACTTATTATTTCTTAGAACCTACGAAATGAACACCTCCACTATTCTGTAGTATATCTTACTGGCAAGCCTCCAAAACAACAAGGAGATAAGTGATTAAAAAAAAAAAAAAGTTCTGTGAAATTCACTACTGGTTCTTTCCATTAGTGGGCAAATAACATGTTTGCAGCACTTTCTTCTAGGTAAGGCCAAGGTTACCACGATGCTGAAACCTAATTTATTTTGCTAAAATAAAAAGTCATATCATTTCAATTAAAGAGCGTATTAAAATATTAAGAGTAACTGGTATAATGGAGACTAAAAATAAATCTTACTGCTTCAAAATTCCTTCTCCAATTTGTGTTCTCTACTATTGACTGAACTAACCACCACCAAAGACAGGCTCTGCTGAAACACTTAAGAGTCCAGATTTAGACAAGGAGAACATCTAGTCTGTCATTTACATAAGTTGTTGTGCCATACTCTACCCCATTATACTGCACATACATACACACTATACCTATTCAAAACAATCCTGTAAAATAGGTAACATTATACCCAAATGAACAAATGGAAAAACTAATACTCCTAGCTAGTAGTAGGTGGCAAAGATAAACCTAAATCTGACTCCTGAGCCATCATTTCTAAACTCTATGCTTCCAGTTCTGATCATCTTAAAATACAATGTATCATCCCCTTCTCTCAGCCTCCTCAACAAATATCCAAGGAGCTAAAATTCAGGACAGGCAAACATATAAAGCTCCCATTATTCCCACCCACGGGTACAGCCATCCGACACAAACACTAGTAAGGCTTAAAATGCAAGCCTGTTTTACTTGTGGGAGTGGTAACAGAACTCATTTACTATAAAAGCAGTCTTCAGAAAGACCCTAGATACAAACAATAACAGGTCAGAATTTGCCCAACTATTCAAAGCTTACAGCTAATGAGTCTTAGCAGAAAGTCTGAACACCAGCCCAAGTTCATAGACAAATGCCTCTTCTGAGATTCCATCCCCCTCAAAAAAAGCTCTCCACACAATGTTCTGCAGGTGCTTGAGCAATATTTGTCATTCACTTGACCTCCACTGGGGCAGACATTTCCTGTCAGATCCCCACTCCCTCCACTCCAATCACCCCATCCAGTCAGCTTCCTGGGCCCTCTCCTGCTCCGTTTGTCTTCTTACCCTGTGTCTGTCATGTTTTCTGAAATAATTCACCATAAAGCCCTTGTTCTCCAAAATTAGTCCTAAATCATTAACCTGGCACTCTCTCATTTAGGGCTTTCCACATCTTCATTGCCATCACTCTATATTCTGTCCTCAAAATTGTCAATATCCAACCACATGTTTCTCTCCCTACCCCCCATCTCCTGCCATTATCCTCAACACCTTCAATGTTATCCCAATGGGGCTACTTTCCAAACAATATTATGAGCCCCCAATCTTTCTCCTGAGTTTCAGTGGCATATGCCCCACTCTAAGCTGGATTCACAATGACCAACAAAAATTTCTGAAATGTAAGAATTATAAGGGGAAAATATCATTCTATTCAAAAACCCAACTATTAAAAAAATAAGAATCACCACCTAGAAGCTATAAGACTGAGAAAATACTGAAAGAATTATTAAAGATTCTAACGTTTTCAGGTCTGCCCCTGATTCAAATGAGGTTATTAAAAAAAAAAAAAATACAGGGGCACCTGGGTGGCTCAGTTGGTTAAGCATCCAACTTCAGCTCAGGTCATGATCTCACGGTTCACGAGTTCAAGGCCCTCAACGGGCTCTGTGCTGACAGCTCAGAGCCTGAAGCCTGCTTCGGATTCTGTGTCTCCCTCTCTCTCTGCCCCTCCCCCACTCGTGCTCTGTTTCTCTCTCTCAAAAATAAATAAAAACATTAAAAAAAATTTTTAAATAAAAATACAGAGAAATCAAATTACGGTATTCTGACACAGAAACGTCATTGAGTTATAACTGGATGTTGTGCTCTTGGTCTTTACAAGAGCTGACATAGCTAGCACCTATTTAAATCCCCTCTCTCAAAGTCTACCAACTGCAGAACTGGGGACATCTTTTACACCTAATAACATCCCTCATCAAATTATTAAGAACAAAGCAATGTATGCAAAATGTATTTTAAAAATTAATAAACAAGTTTTGATAAAAGGAAAAATAACATATTCTTTATATCTGACATCTACCAAAAAACTAGTACCAAGTTCTGACACTGTACAGGTACTTGGTAATTATTTTATTAATGCAGAGACCTAAAATGCACTGGGATAATCCCCATGCTAGCAAAACAGAGGCAAAACACCCTCATTTTACAGTTGGAAGCAAGATACTCAATAATTTAACAGGCCTCCTTGTTTGAAAATTAGTCCAGTCAGTCTCCTCAGTAGTAGATGTATTGTCTGTCTAGTGAATCATAATTCTTTATAATCAATCCCTTGAGAAATAGCGGAGCTGGTCCCATTTTTATAACTCAGTATTATTACATACTGTTTCTCATAGGACATTACAGTGAGGTATT